TTCCAATGTGAAAATCCTGCTTGGAAATAGGAATTTCTGACTTCCTGCTTCAAATGAAACAGAAACAGCCCAGAGGTTTTACAGGCGTTCTGTTGGGACGGGGCGTTATGAGAGAACCACGAATCCTGTGACGAAGACGAAAACTCAGGATGAAAGAGGACAGAATAAAATCCCAGGAAAGAAGAACTCAGAACTACTACTGTGAAAACTACACTGTGGGTGTCATCTGTGGGATTCACTGCCATTAACATTAACAGGGAAAATGCACAGACAGTTTTTCAGTTTGAGGAGGAGACCACGCCCCCTCACCTCACTCCTCCACCTGTCTAACACTTGGCTGATTTGGAAATTTTGGAGAAGCTGAAAGATAAAAGTGGAGCTTAGGAAGCATCGGGAACTTTAACGTTCCTGATGCTGAGAGAAGAAGGTTCAGCTTGTTTGTGTCACCGTCAGAGACGCTAAAACTAAAGCAGCAATGAGAGAAGGGTTCCAATATTCATGTGTGTGTAACGCCGACACGTACCGATGTCCGAGTCGTCCTCCACCTGCAGCCGTCGGGCCAGCGCCTCGTCTTCCCTCAGCTGCTGCGAACGAGCTGCAGCCTCCTCCTCCTCGCTGATGGAGATCTGCTCCACCACAGCTGCAGGAGAAACCACTCGTCACAGACTCCAGGCCAAAGAAGCTAGACCCAGAGACGCGCACCATCGAGTGATATTTAAAGTGCAAAAAACTAAAAATAAAGAACCAATTAAAAATTATCTTTAATAAAATGCAAATCGACTCGTGACCACAGCCAATCACAGTCATTCCCTACTGCTCAGCATGGACAGGGCCGTGTGAAGGAGGGGGTCTGAGGGGGCTGCAGTCTCCCCGCTGCAAAAGGCAGACAAGCAGCGCCCCTGTGTGAGCTTCTGATTTATTCTTACTGCTGATTGGTTCCTGAAGGCGAGCCTTCAGAGAAGACGAAGCATGGTCGCCCTTCACCTCCGTCAGCACCAGCTGCAGCTTAAGTACAGGCTGAATTGGGAAGTACCGGCGGTCCTGTTTTTTGTTTTGTTCCTAGTCTAGATTATCAGGACCAGGTTAGGGGCGGAGCCTAGTTGGTTCATGGTCATCCTCCATCTGTTTTAGCCGGAGCGCTCGTCTCATCAGGAACACGTCGCCAAATACAAAAAATGAACAAAGGTGTGAAAAGCCTTAGTTCGGTGTTTCGTGAAAGACACGTGTGGCAGGAAGTTGTAATATATAAGTATAAATGCTGACGCCGAGCATCACAGTCACATGACGTTCACAGCAGTTACAGGAGTTATTCAGCATTTTCTTTGGTTCAC